GGCGGAGAATGGATGGGCCGGTGGTGGGTTGGCAAGGAGTTTCCAACCATGGACATGCCCCTTTCCGCCCCCCCCCTACTCTCTGGAAAGGGCGCAAAAATAGGGCGGAAACTCCTCCACAGCCACTTTTCCGGCCGGAAACGGATGTGAAAGCAAAAAACGTGGCTTTTTTTTTCCAGATACCGTTTTCCAGGCTGTGGGGTCCCGGAAAACGTCACGGCAGTCCTGAAATCGGCTTTCTTCCGGAGGGCCTGCTTTGTCCGATGGAGTCCGAGATAAGCTTTTCCACGACAGTTTTTCCATGTTTTTTTCCTGTGGGGTCCAGGCCTGAAGCACACTTTCTGTACATGCAAAATTTACACAAACAACCTGAATTGGTAACAACAATNTGTACATGCAAAATTTACACAAACAACCTGAATTGGTAACAACAATAGATTAATCAGTTAAAGGGCCGGACTTCCTGTACACGCCCTGTGTAGTTTTTCCCTGTGGTGTCCAGGCCTAAGGGGTGGACCCCACTGCTCGGCGGCTGGAAAAAGTGGTTGGCCATAAAAAGCGGTGGAAAGACGGCAGAAAGACTTTGCCGGGTTTTCGTGGGACCCCACCACCAAAGTATTTCCAAAGCTCTGGAAACAGCAAAACATACCCGAAAAGGAAAAGTCGGAGGGTCTCCCCCCGAAAAGGAAAGTTGGGATGGGATTATGGTGCACCAAATTTGTCCATCCCTGGACCAGGACATGTCCGTGTGCGGCACTGCGTGGCAGTGTGTGATGTGTGGCGTCGAATAGGTGGTGGGGTACTTCGTTCACCTGTCCCCGGGCATCCAAAACGGCCCGTTGGGACTTTCGGTATTTGAATTTGAATTCTAAGAACAGAAATTATTCCTTTTTGGGCCTCATCGGAGCTTGTCCGCTTCCACCCTCGGGACCCGAGACGGGGAGTGCCACAACTCGGGACATCCCGCAAGTACGTGCCCCAGGTCACCATAGGCGGTGGACGAAGACGATGTGTGGCGGTGACGAAGAACTGTGGTTAGTTGCCTTCGCCGACGTTGTGTGCGGGTGTGTGTGTGTGTGTGCGTGGCCCGGCCCCTGCCATCCCTGCAGCCGAACGCATAAACCATGGATCCTCAGCATCCATCTGGTTCGGGGGAGGATTGGGAGGGCAGATTGTTCTTCCTCATTCTGACCGTGACGCAGTGGGTGAACAGGCGCAATGCGGGGGCCATGGCTGTCCTTGAAGCTGTGTCTGTGACGCCATCATGTTCCGTGATGTGTCCGGGGCGCTGACGATGCTGGCAGGGGGGGTGATCCACGGCATGGCTCGGACGTGTTTGGCGGCACGGCAGCTGGAAGGACACATGACTGTTCGAAGACGGCGGCTATGGGTGGTGGACCGCAGCGGGGGTGTTTGGAGGGACTTGCAACGAACAGGGCCAGATCACAACAAGGTCTTCAGGCGGTTTTGCAGATTTCCACGACCGTTGTTTTTGGAAGTACTTGCTCGGATCGGTCCTCATATCCAGCGCTCCCCCACCGATTTCCGACTGCCGTTACCTGCCGGGCAGAAGTTTGCATGCGCCCACATCAGGTGGGCGACCGGCGGGTACTACAGACAACCATCCCACGCTCTGGGTACGGGGCTCGCCAATGCATTGCGGAGCAACGAAGAAGTCGCTGATGCTTTGATCCATGAGTATGGCCATCCTCTTCGCTTCCCCACAGGACGGCGTTTGGAGGAAGTGGAGAACGTTTTCGAGGCGAAAGAGTTTGCTGGTTGCGTTGGGGCTATAGACTGCACCCACGTGTACATCGAGAAGCCAAAGGGAGCGCCATCAGAGTGCTACTACCATCACACCGGTGACTTTTCGGTTGTCGTGCAGGTGATCTGCGACCATGAGTGCTGAATTCTGAGCGTGTTCGTTGGCTGTCCAGGGTCTGTGCAAGATTCACGCGCGTTGCATTTGTCGCCATTATACCGCAACACGACTTCGGGCCAAGGAGTGTTGAGCAATAGCAGAGCGATTCTGCACGACGGGAGGCATGTTGGGCATTATCTTTTGGGCGATGCTGGTTACCCTCTTCTACCGTGGATTATGATTCCAATGGGCAGATTTGGGATGATATCCGCAGACAGCACGTACGACGAGTGCCACACGTCAACGAGGAATTGCATTGAGAGGACATTCGGTCGTTTAAAGAGTGTGTGGCGGAATTTCATCCGCACACACATATCGAACTTGAAGACTTTGCGCAAGGAGATAATGGCGGTGTGCATTCTCCACAACCTGATGATAGATCGCGGGGTGGAGATCGACCCCACGTTGATGGATGACAGCAGCGACATTGACGGGGAGGGCCCTCGTCGCCCAGTCCGTCGACAGCGCCGCTGCCGCCGACGAGTGTAACGACATTTGCCAGACCTCAACGTCGAAGCCGCGGCGGAGAATGACCCTAGCTATGGTAGTGATCTAGCAAAGAGGATAAGGGCAAGCTTGGTAGATCATGTCAACCACCACGTCGCTGTTCACGATGGACCGGCTGCGAACCCGTGGTGTTAGAGTGTGCGCGGCGCACTTGAGTGGGGGAAGACTGTGTGTGTGTGTGTGTGTGTGTGTGTGTGTGTATGTGTGTGTGTGTGTGTGTGTGTGTGTGTGTGTGTGTGTGTGTGTGTGCGTGCGTGCGTGTGTATGTGTGTGC